TAAAAAAGACACCGAAGTCAAGTTATTTGCCAGTCCTGCTTATATTTTCCTGTTGAGATAAAAATAAGGTTCAACATTAAAATATTTGATTACAAATCTCTTTCATTTTGATAGAAAACTTCGCTTCTTTTCTACAAGTCTTGCCCGCTAATGCCAAGTGCCGGATCAAAGTTCTGTCGGACAAGATTGTAGATCGTTCAACACAAGTGAATTCTTTAAGTTCAGTGAAAACTCTCAGCATGTTTATGTTCATTTTTCTATCCCACGCTCGATTTGGTTCCGTATGTTTGTTGGAATATAAAGGTTTTCCTCTATACGTGAACTGTTTTAACAATTTTCTTCTCTTTAACCGCCGAGCTTTTCTTCTATTTAACATTAGTATCCTTACTCATTCGTTTTGAGTTTTTATTCTAAACATGATTCTATCTGAGATTCTGAAGTTTGTTTAATGTGAACATTAATTTATATTTTTATAATATATTTTCTATTAAGTATTAATCGTTTCAGATTCAATAAAATTCTAATAAAAACGTCTTCGGCCAGGCTCCATGATGGACCTCTTGAATAGTCTTTTAGAACATTCATAAGCTTGACATAAAAAATTGTTGTCTTGTTCCGATTCTGGAATAAAGTAAACAGAATAATGTTAAAAATATTAGATTTGATTTATTTATTCTTTTTAAAGATAAAAACATGTAGTTATGATCGTTAACATATCCCTTATAGAACCCAAACTTATTGACAACGTTATAAAATGCCTTCGAGAATAAGTTTATCTGAAGGTTATTTGGGAATAGTCGTAAATTCCAGGAGAAGTTGTTAGAAAAATAACAAAATCCGGCTGAAACATGATACGACTAACATGACGGAGATGTGGCTCGCTTATTAAAAATAAATAGTACACATACATACTTATAAAAATAATATGTTGTAAAATTTAATTCCTGCCTTTTAAATATTTTCCATTATTTGTATACTTGTGTATTATTTAAAAAGCTTATCCTTACTACAGTACGCTATCATAAAGAGAGTATTCGTGGTACTTTACTACTGGAAGGTTAATACCGTCAGCACTTCAGGGATTATTTATTATATTAAAAGTCAACCTCTCATATAATATACAGCGTGTGGATACCAAATAAAGTTTTATTAGCTCTTGTTGTACAAATTAGCGACATCTCCGCCTGACCACAGCTGATAACACATGACCCTCGCGTTGTACCGACTCATTGTAAACCTAATTTTGTTTAACGACAATACTTCATATCTACATCATAATAGTAAATACCCTTCGTCCGACCAGCTCTGTAAACCTGCATCTACCTGCCTCTACTACATAATAATACATATAATGTACAATTAAAATTCTTGATACAAAATGAAAAATGATTCAGTTTATAAAGATCAAGTTGGTTCGCTACTAAATCATGATAAGGCTGGCCCGAAAAAAAAAACCCCTCGCCTGAACCCCATTAGACCGCCGCCATTTGTCGTAAACAAAAAACAATCTACAAAACAAACATCCACCTTAACTCCGAAATTCATGAAAAATATCACGACCACTTCTTAAACCGACCTGAATAAATAATGTTACTTGCTGGGTTTCCATCAATCCAGAAACTCCTCAGTAAGTGTCTATTTTTAGCTTCTTATATTAAATCCACCTTCGTTTATTGGAAACCAACCTGCGACTATATTCGGCGACAAAAAAAAATACATTAATACATATTTTATTAAAATCGTTCCATTTTATGTGTTTTTGTAAAGATATATTAACCATATGGGTAATTATATCTAAATATTAGGTTTTGAGTGTTATCACGGTCATTTTAAATCCGTTGCCTTTACTTTATGAGGATCCAGAGCTCATTTAATTTCTCAATTGCCTACTTTTTAGGGTAATTATTTGACTATCATAATATTTGACTGAAGACTAAAATAATATTCCGACCGTTCCGTAGATACTTTGCCATCATTATACTTATATTTTTTCATAAAAAAGTGTTTATACAAACTTTATAATCTTGGGAGTCAGGTGACGCTGGACTTGTCCTTCATTAAAACATGTTTTTTTTTATGTTTTAAAAGATTATTATTTATGAATGATATTTACCCGAGATACTTCTACCTCCGTCAAATTGTGGGATTTAAAACATTAGTTTGTTTATTGAGAACTGGAAACAAAACAAGATTCATTTGTATTAATTCATGAGAGATCCTTTCATCCGATCCAACATTAAGTTTGTTAAATATTGTATTCGCAAGATCAGGCTGTGAGTGCTGTCCACTTCTGTATCTCCTCGTCTCCTGAAGCACCTGCTGTAACAAATTACATTTTAATATCCTCAAATTATTCAGATAACATTTCCTCTTCTTTTATATCGCCTAATAATTATTAATTTATGAATTGTTTCTCATTTTTATTTTTTCTTTACTTATATTATTTTCTTTTACAGGTAAGCTTCCAATTTCGACTTTTATCACTTTGTCCCTTATTGGAGGAATTCCGTGATGAGTGAGTACAAATAATTTTATTATACAATGATTGAGAATATAAAATAAGTAAAAAATCAAGAGAATCCGTAACATATATTTTAGTTATTTTCAGTTCACTTACTAACTTGTGATTCTACATAATAACTAATTTTTATTTTTCTTTTCCACCTATGATCGTCATCAAATCATGAATATTTAGCTCATCATTAACATTATCTTGTCACACTGTAGAGGGAGGTTTTAAGTACAATATAAAATAAAGTTTCGCCAACTCGTGGATCTAATAAAAAAAACATATTGGGCCGGCGATGCCCGCCACTTGTCCGCCATAATTGACTCGGAGTCCGTTGATTGGTCGGTGGAGCGGAATGACGTCACCGCACGGACCAATTAACATTATTTTTTCAAATTTTGAGTTTGGAATTCCAAATGACCGTTACTCCTGTTGTAGAGTTGTTTGTGTTCAGACGTTGTTACAATATAAAACATGTTTAAAGTTTATCCGTCACATGTTTCTTCTCGACACCTCCATGTTAAACGCTCTCCTATCTCTAATAGTTTAGTTTCTGAAAGTTTTTTCGGGCGCTACGATTCGACTCCGTACTACGACAAGGAAACAAGTTCCTGATAAAAATGTAAGTGTTCACCGAGACTGGTAACACAAACAGAAACGCGGAATATCATTAAAAGTTTAGCAATTTACATTTTTTATTTATATTTGATTTTATAGACGCTTTAAAAAATTAAGACAAACACAATCAACTAACAAAAACACAAAGTGAAATGTAATTAAAGCGATGTGTATGCTAGTGTGGATTTTACTCACTTATCTTAAGAACTCGATTCCTAAATACGGATCATTTGTAACTCCGTGTGAAGAGGCCTTTGATGCCGGGGGGGTTGGGGGCAGGGAGGGAGGAGGGGGCAGGGAGGCAGGGGTGTCTTGATTACCCTCCTAAATTAAATACACAGTTGATAGAAGCCTACAGGGTGCTATGTCATGGATATTGGCTTGTTTTCGTCCTAAACTTGGAATATAATAACCCGTTTTTCGTTTCTAATATATTTATTGTATTACTTTATTTTAAAAATGTTCCTTTATATTAGTGTTTCCAATAAAACACAATGTTTTCCCTCAAATGTTCCGCCGATAACGCATTATTTTAATGTAATTTATTGTAAATATACAATTATAATATGTATTTCTATTCAATTGAAAGATTCTTATCGCTCTATGTGAAGTGAATTAAATTTTCATGTACTTATTTGATAGAAAAAATCTTGTCATAAATTGTTCCGTCTAAGATCAGTGGAAGACTAAAACATAGACGTATTAGGAATGTATGTTATGTACCATCAACTGGAATTTACAGCTCGTGAAGTCGCTGAGTACTAGGATGTGTGTTTGTCTGTATGTATGTATGTGTGTGTGTGTCTGTATGTGTGTGTGTGTATGTGAGCGTGTAATAGTTGAACCTAATGTGAGTTTCTCATATCGAGTTCCGATGTCACAGAGCTGACCTCTGAGAGAAATAAAAATAATAATCGTTCCAACCCTCCAATATCAGTGTAATGTAAACCCGCTGTGCATTTATTTCTAATCTTATTATGTTTCTTGTATTATTTTTCTGCCCTTTTGGCGTGAAAGCGAATTATTTTGCTTACTGGGTCCATATAGCAAGGGTCGGATGTTGAAATAAGAAGTATATGAGAAACAAAAATACTACTAGTCGTTAGGTATTACTGTTATGTTGTTGAGTTATTTATTTTCCACATGTTCTCACGGTGCCAACTCGTTCACAATGAGTAAAACAAACGTTTACTATACGACATAAATGTAATAGAGAAATAGTGATTCAGAAAATGAAAAAAAGAAAACAATTTAGTGTGTAATTCGCTAGGTTTGTAGACGTCGACGTTTTGATTTACCGCTAAATAGTTTAAAAACAACAAAACAAACTAGCGGAGGGACCGTAAACTCTTTTAGTCGCTCCATTATCAACGTATTTACGAGTCCGCTACACACCAACCATATGTGAACTAAAATGAACCTTACGACTCTCACAATAAGATCTACGCGACTGGTGGATGTAATCCTACCTTCATTTTACACTAGCGTTTAAGTAAAACATCGTAACAAAGCAAAAGGTGCTGTCCGTTTTAGACAATAAGAGCCAGGCGGCAGGTGTTATTGTTTGTGTGTGTGTTGGCACTTAGCGTCTCATTGTACCCATCCGTCTGTCTCGATGACAAATTGTTCACTTCACACGATTAATGTAGTTGTGGCGCGTGTTATGGATTTATGTTTAGGAATAATGTAATTGTGATAAGATATACATTACAGTCTGCGGACTAGGACAGGCACGATAAATGTCTGGAGGAATTGAAAGATCCAAGGATATACCGGTAGAAGTGGATCAACAGCGGTCAGGAAGTAGTGGTTCATGAGGAAAATACGATTGATTGAGAAATACATAATCTTTATTTATTATATTAGAACAAGTTCAAAGATCATCACTGTCGTCCTTGGAGCTGTCGCCGGTGGCGCTGTTCGAGGAGTCGTCGCTGAGTGGCACCTTGTAGTCGTAGAAGAAATGCTCGCCGTGAGGATGGTCTAGGTCGGTGTCATTCGCGCAACGGAAGTCGTGAATTTTCACGAACACTGAAACACATTGTATAAATGCAGTTCGATACTGAAATATACATCATCTATGTACAAAAACAGAGGCCAATGTTGAGCAAAGGCCTCTTCTCACATAAAGAAAGATAGAGCTTCAATCATCACTCTTGCTCAAGAAGGGTTGGTGATTTTAAACTTATAATTTGAAATTATGAGAATAGTTTCCCTTCTTTTAATTATCTTCCTGTAACGTTCCTGAATTTAACGTCTAGTAAAACCTCTAAACTTATATTTTAATGAATCGGTACTTGGGACCCACTCGTTCCATCCTGACAGTTCCTGTAATGCATCATACACGAGCTCTTGAACGATCGTCTCGCTCGCTGGTAGCCGCCGCAGATCCACTTTATGGAAGGATCTCGCCACTTCTTCACCATATCGTCCGGGCAAGGTGTACATTTCCGATGCCATTTTCTCCTGAAATTAATTTAACACATATAAATTCGTTCAAAGCATTCTCTGTCTATTACAAAATAAACGTAGCATTTTTCAAATAAATTGCTTAAAAGTCAAATTACATTCGTTTCATTCACAAAATTTTATAAAATTTTGTCGGCACATTAAAATTTTAATTTAAAATATTTTCGTGCTGTATACAATTTGTCAAACAATTCGATTACATAACATCACATTTAATGGTTCGTATGATGTTGAAGCTGCGGCCTGAAGTTTCGATCGGCAGCGAACGTGAACTTGTGGAATTCAATAAAGTGACCACAGACGAATAGTGGAAAATGAAAATTAGGGGAATTATATGAAGGATTGTACATGTACTGAAACAAACAATAAACTTAAGGAATCAATATTACAAAGTTACAATTTATAATAACGTTTTGGACTTAGAAGAAACTAGATACACGTCTCTTAAGTGTTATCCTTATTCTGTAATGATTTGTGTGCTTTAATATGTGTGACCACTATAACCTTCAGCAGTGTCCGATAATCGGAACCCATGATCTTTCTTCATCCTATGTCACGAGATACATAACTTTTTATATATAGCTCTCCGTCACTTCCTAACTATTGCCAGTATATGTGTGTGTATGTCGGTGTCTATACCAGCCTCTCCTCTCAGCGCTGGACACAGGTCTCTTCGAGGCGTCTGTATCAGATGTCAACTCGTGTGTCGACAACTCCAAGCTCTCCTTGTCCACGTCCGCGCTGTCACTGTCTTTACCTTTTAAAAACGGAAATTTCTTATGATGAGACGATTTCATCGAAAACATATTAATAAAATTCATTGTATTATTTTCGGTCAACAATATTTTTTAAGATTCTTGTTAAATTTTGTATAATTTGTGTTAAAACTTTGTTTAAAAGTAACTATTTTTAGTCTGCCGTCTATGTATTATATTGTTTTACCTCTCGCTTCTTCTGAAGAAGTGGATCTGTCTTTTTTCTTCTTTTTCCCGCTCCGCCTGAGGTCATTCTTAATATTTTCTATTTTGGTTTCATTCGGTATAAGAGACACCGTGACTTCAACTATCAGGTTGTTTATAAAATAAAAGTAGTATAGAGATTTAAAAAAAAACATAACATATGTATGTACTCGTTTTACATAAATATAATGTATTTTTATTAATTATCTAATATTTATTTGTTTACTTACTGAGAGCTACTAACACAAAACAATAAACCATGAATTTCACCATGTCCCGTGCTACATAAGTTTATAAAATTAAAAAACTTAACACCTATCATAAACTGAGCTATGGAACATTTTTATAGGTTTTCAATATTTTAAGAATATATACTTGTTGTATTTTACGACACACTTCATTGTGTATTTATTTCGTAAAGGTCACCGAGTACATAAAATATTATAGAAATAATGAACATAGTTTTGGTAGATGTTGTTTGTACAAACTATTCAAAATTCCTTCAATAGGTCATGATAATAATTTTATATCATAGTAATATTATTATAACTGTACGTATGTATATAATCGTCAACAACCAAACTAATAAACAGTATTTTATCTTGATGCTGCTTACGGCACCAATGTAATTCTTCATTTCAATATGTTTATGTACAGATTTGTCTATTTTACTAATGTGAAGTCTTTAGACCTGACCTGTGAACTATCGTTAATAGGGAGAAATAAATATACTTGCTGCTTGAGTACCGCTATATTACGAATGAATTGGTATGGCACAAACTGTCTATTAAATACAAATCTTATACAGAAGTTATATCCAATTACCCACTTTACTACACTCCTCCCCTCTATACAATACAACCCCTTAACCGAATACAATAAGCTTAACCTAAGTCATAATATTTAAACATATATATATATTTTTTAAATGTTAATATTAACTTATTTATTAAGTAAACTTACACAATATTAAATTATTTAACACTATCATGCAATGGTTTAATTAAACGACATTTGCGTATTGGCCGTATCCGAGGCGGTGACACGGGCAGCGACGACTCAGCTGCGAGTGTGGGCGAACTTGGAACCATATCAGTCTTTGGCTCGTTTAGCTCTGGTTGCGGTCTCTCTCCACACGACTCCTCTCTGACAACCGGCTCACCCATTCTTGGCATCTTTGGACTATCGCTCATGAGTGCCGGTGTCCGAACCCCAGGGGAATCATGCTGCGATGGAGTGTATGGAGCAACTATGGAATTACGCGTAGATCTCCGTCTTAACTGATCAATATGTCTGTGCGATCCTCTCCCTACATCATCTAAAATGCTATAATCCGTCGCGCCTAATCGTTCTATAACCTTACCCGACACCCATTTATTAGCGCCCTGATACTGTCGCATCCACACATTCTCTCCCGGCTCTAAAGACCGACTGTTCTCTGTTCCTAACTTCCTTTGACGCGTTTGGGCTTCCTTCACTTTTTTATCCCTATCTGGTCTAAGTAAATCTAATTTTGTACGTAAACTACGTCCTAACATTAGAGAAGCAGGGCTTTCCCCAGTAGTACTATGTTCTGTGTTTCTGTAATGTAATAAAAACGTGTTAAGAAATGATTGAATGTCCTCTTTTTTACGGATTGCTTTTCGTATTACTTTTTTTATCGTACGTACAGCATTTTCGGCGGCACCGTTTGACGCAGGGTGGTAAGGAGCTGAAAATAAATGTTCTATGCCTAATTTATTTGTAAATTTTGAAAAATCCGAACTTGAAAAAGGCGGACCATTGTCGGTTACCATCTGCTTCGGTAGCCCCCATCTCGCAAAAACTTCCTCTAATTTATTCAATGTATAACGCGCGGCGGTACTAGGAACAGGATATACCTCGATCCACTTAGTTCTCGCGTCAATTAAAATTAAGTAAATTTTATCTTGAAAAGGACCCAAAAAATCTAAATGAATCCGTGACCAGGGCCTTGAAGGCCACGGCCATGGATTTACAGTATGACGGGTTGGTGCATCCGCCTCCGCGGCACACACTTCGCACTGCTTGCATACCGCCTCCACCGCTTCGTCGATCCCCGCCCACCACACGTAGCTGCGGGCCATTGCTTTAGTTTTACTAACCCCCATATGCGGTTCATGCAAATCCATTAAAACCCTATCCCTACAGTTTTCAGGAATTACCACCCTATGACCCCACATGATACATCCTAATTCCTCGTATAACTCTTTTTTTCTATTAAAATAAGGTTGCAATTCCCTTATTTCATTTTGATCCGGCCAGCCACTTTTAATATAAAGTAATACTCTCCCTAATAAAGGATCTCGCAATGTTTGTTGTTTAATTTTATTATAATCGAGCAATAATTCACTTTGAGCGAAGTGTAAATAAGTCTGTTCGGGCGGATCGAGAGGTGAGTCATCCCCGCTCACATTGCGGCCGGGCAGTCGCGATAAGCCGTCGGCGCTGTTATGTTTTGTATTAACGTATTCAATATCGTAAGTGTACGCAGATAATATTACTGACCATCGTTGCATACGACTCGCTGCCATGGCCGGAATGCCATGTTTGGGGCCAAAAATGCTAACTAGGGGTTTATGATCCGTTCGCAACGTGAAACGCCTACCGTATAAATATTGATGTAATTTTTTTAAACAAAATACAATTGCAAGCGCCTCACGATCGATCTGTGAATAATGCTTCTCGGTCTCTGTTAACGCGCGTGATACGTACACTACCGGCCGCTCGGCGCCCCCCGGCTCCGGTTGAGCGAGGACGCCGCCGATGCCTCTTGAGCTCGCGTCACAAGTTAGAATCAATGGTTTTTCCGCATCGTAATGGGCTAAGACTTTCGTACTCGTTAAAATTTTTTTAATTTTAATAAACGCTTCTTCACAATCATCCGACCATTTCCACCCTATTCCTTTTTTTAATAATTTATATAACGGATACAGGATTTGACTTATGTTTTTAACAAATTTAGCATAAAAATTAACTAAGCCCAAAAATGACCTTAGCTCGGATACATCTTTTGGACGTGGAATTCGAACAATGGCTTCAATTTTATCCTTATCTACCTTAACACCCTCTTTAGATATTACATAACCCAAATATTTAACTTCTTCTACTAAAAATGAACATTTACTTTTTTTTAATTTCATACCATGAGATTGCAATTTATAAAAAACTTTTTCGAGTGTAGCTAAATGCTCCTCGCGACCTCCCTTGGTTCCAACTATGACGTCATCCTGGAACACTTCTACTCCGGGCATATCACCAAGTAACTGGGACATTATACGCTGAAAAATCCCCGGACTAGATGAGAGTCCAAATACCAACCTATTATACTTAAATAACCCCCTATGTGTATTAATAACTGTCAAATCCTTAGAATTATCTAAAGCGATCTGATTGTAAGCCTGTGATAAGTCAATTTTCGAAAACCATTGAGCTCCATTTAAACTAACTAATAAGTCCTCAAATTTCGGTAAAGGATACCTATCGATCAGTAAGACGGGATTAATTGTAATTTTATAATCCGCGCATAAGCGTAATCCCCCGTCACTCTTACGTACCGGTACTAATGGAGTTGCCCAGTCCGAACTGTTCACCGGTTCAATTATGCCGTCTCGCAACATTTTATCTAATTCCGCGTCCACTTGACCCTTCAGCGCGTAAGGTAACGGCCTCGCGCGACAGAACACTGGGGTCGCTCCATCCCGCACTCGCAACTGAGCCTTGCCACCCGTGAAGCACCCCAGCCCGCCACTGAACAGTTGATCATATCTGTTTATTAAAGTTTTTAAATCGTAATTCGACAAATTAGTACATTTTTGCACACAATTAATATTTTTATGAAAAGAGGGTATTTGTATTCCTAGCTCGGACAGCCATTGTCTCCCCAATAACGACGTAGTTCCCCCTTCAATAACAAATAAATCTAATTTTTTACATACATTATTATAACAAACATTAGGTTTAATTATCCCTAACGGCTGTATCGAGCTACCATCATAAAACTTAAAGGTTAAGTTTTTTTTTTCTATTACTATATGCTTAAAATATTTATCATACGTTCTCTTGCTAATGCATGACACTGCAGACCCTGTATCTATTTCCATTTTTAATACAATATTATCTATGCATATTTCTAAGCTTACCGGCTTATAACTATTTAAGCTGAGTTGATGCAACTCCTCTTCCGAACTGCTATCACCGTCCGATCGATCAGAGGCAGCCACATGATTGACTTTCTTTCCTCTTCTAGGGCTTCCCGACCTCGGACAAACCCGTTGCAGATGTCCTTTTTCCTTACATCTCCGACATGTAAAACCTTTATAGCGGCAAACCTTGTTATTATGGCCTGGCTTCCCGCACGTTGAACAGCTTTGGTCCACCCCCCATGTCCAATCACTTGGGACAGGGATCCTATGTCCCGGCTTCTTCGGTCCCCTTTGCTTTGTTTCAGGCTCCTTTGATCCACGACCCATCATCACGTGAACCCCTTCTACAGAGGGTGCATTCGAGCCCTCCACCACTGCAGCATCCCGTTCAGCTGCTTCTAGGGCACATGCCAACTTCAACGCGCCGTTATAATTTAAATTATCCTCAGCGAATAACCGTTGCCGTGTGACGTCACTCCGTAATCCACACACTAATTGATCCCGCAAGTTTTCTTCTAGATTGTTCGTAAACTCACAGTATTTCGATAATTTTTTTAATTCGGTTACGTACTGCGCCACAGATTCATCGTTCCGTTGTCTTCTTTGTCGGAAGCGATAACGTTCCGCCATTACGGACGGCCGCGGTTGTAAATGATTACGCAATAATTCAACCGCCGCATCATATGTTAATTGCACTGGTTTAAACGGACTCGCCAAACTGCTAAGCAATTCATACGCTTGGTCTCCGATCGCGGTAATTAAAGTAGGCAGCCATAAGTCTTTTTCCACTTTATTCACTTTTAAGTACATCTCTAACCTTTCCACGTATAATGTCCAGTTCCCGGAATTAATGTCAAATTCGTTTAATTTTCCGCACGCCATTTCACTTTGTTCTTTATATTTATTTATTTTAAATATCCCGAACTCGTACGCCACTGAACTATCGTTAATAGGGAGAAATAAATATACTTGCTGCTTGAGTACCGCTATATTACGAATGAATTGGTATGGCACAAACTGTCTATTAAATACAAATCTTATACAGAAGTTATATCCAATTACCCACTTTACTACAACCTGCATACTGAAAACTGAGTTTTGCGATCAAATTGTATATTCATAGTATGAAAATTAATAAATTCGTGGCTTTTTATATTCTTACAAAATATATGTTCAATAAGTTTACACACTTGTATTTAATATCAAACTTGGTTTACAAATATATTGTAAACTAACACAGTCACTAAATATATAATATATGTATGTTTGTATGTATGTATGTGTCTGTATACGGATACGTATGTATCTGGGAAACTAATTCACAGAATGTCGAGTCCTGTGAAGTAATTATTCACAGTAATATATGAAATTGCGACACAAACCGTATTTGAGAATTTAGAATTTAATGGCTTTTGCGGTATTAACAGAGGTGATTTCAATTTATCGAAATTTGTGTGTTTTAATAATCAACGGAATTTCCAGCAAACATTATATATTACAATAATTTTTGTTGAGTTTTATAAAGGGGATATAACGTTATTACTTTTGCTAAGGATTTGTGTCTTAAATAAATAAGTCTTAGGTAGTAATGAAACTTCTCTCATATTATTAAACTTTATAAATATAAAACCAATGTCTTCCGTGATATTCGTCGTTTTTGCAGCGGTGGTCGTACAACTTCACGAACACTAGAACGATTTAATGTTGATTCAAAGTTAATGCCGTCGATATGACTATTTATAAAACTAAACTAAACGGGGGTTAAGTCTTTTTTTTTTAATTATTTTCTATGACACGTTATTTATTTCTGTTTCTATATATAATAAGTGTTGGACGTACTCGTTCCATCCTCGCAGTTCCTGTACCTCATCATACAATCACTCTTGAACGAGCGCCGAGCTCGCTGGTAACCGCCACAAATCCATTTGATGCCTTTATTTTTGTAATTTTTTAACATGTCATGTGGGCAGGGCGTGCAAACGCGATAGGTTTTTGTCCTGAAATAGTAAACGGAATCATGAAAATAATTTAATCGAATATAACTCATGTAAAACATTTGTCATACGCCAGCCGTTTCTCCGTGGTTTCTAATGAAGACGCCTCGGAAGACTGACTTGTAGATATGCTGCTGGATCCATCAGCTAAAGAACTGCAAACATGTTGTTCGTTTTTAGTACACGTATCAATTGGTAGAAGTAGAGTATGAAGTTATTTCAGTACCTTGAGTGTGAGGAGAGACTGCTCTTTAGATCGCTTCCACTCTCACCAGAAGACCTGGAAGTATAGTCGTACCAGTTGGGTCCTCTATGAGCCGCGTCCCCGAACGCTGCCACATGCTTTATATCGCCTTTATATCTGAGATAGTTCGGTGTGAGACCTTGTTCTTTACACTGAATCGCTGTGAGCCATGATCGTCTATTAGTATATATAGTGTATAATGGTGCGAGTATAACAAGCATTGCTTTACCAATTTTGATCCGAACGCACGTTGTATGAGAAAGCTTTAACCATAACTCCGAAAGTTACAGACAGAATTGAATCATTTTCCTTTCAAATGCAACTGCAAGTGTGCTAGAGATTTGAGGTCTGAATCGAGTTACCTCCATATATTTGCATTTAAATGCGTCTACGTATGTGAATATGCACATAAAATTTACTGCACCTACATTTCTGATGGATATAGTTAAATTCGAGCGCACACGAAGCCTGGCTGTATTAAATGAAAATGATGTCAAGAGTGGGCTAATATGAATACGATTTACAAAAATGTTTTTCAACTCTTCGTTATCTTTGTCCTAACTTATATTTTAATACAGAGTAACAGAATCTATTGCGACTTGGACTATTAAATAAACATCTCATACACCTTCCAAGATTTATTTTTATTTTTATATAAAAGTGTCGTATTTAAGATGTTCTTTAAATTGTAAGAGCATAGGAATATTTTCAATGCAACGAATTCAACTTTTGCATTTGTCGCACTATATTAAAAAAATTCTTGCAGTATAATAATTACGCAGTTTCATATCCGCCTTATTAACCTACTTCTGAAGGATTCTCCAAAAAATGTAAAAACCTAGTCTCGGTTTTAAACAAAACCAGCCACAATAACTTTTATAAGGTTTTATTAAAAGCACTTACCATTAATTATGAGAAAGACAATCGGGACCCTCATTCCTTTCATAAAGACCTTTTCAACGTCACATTTTAGTGAAATGTTAACAATGAAATATTTCTGACGATATATTTTTATTGCTTATTACTAGTGAGCTACAATTGCATTTAAAGATTGGTCTCGCTAAGGTTGTGTTGAAACATTAAATGCTTCGTCATAAAACAAATCAATAATAATATTATATGTACGTTACACTGTTCCACTTTATATTACTTTAATGTTTTAGATATTTGTTGTTTATATATTGATTCACTTTTACATCGAGATATATTAATTTAATGCATATAATGTATACAAGGAGATAGTGCAAACTTGTTTATTTTCATCCTGCGTGTTAATTGACTCCATACATAAAATTGTCTTATTTTATTTTCTGCTTGGGCTTCCTCCTTATTTCATTAGTAATTCTTCCGATATACTAGACAAGTTATCTTCATCGTCTCCTCCTGTAATAAATTGAAAATAAAAAAAGGAATTTCAATATTTTCCCTAAAATAAATAGTGCTTGTGCAACCCTTGCAGTCACTAAAAGAGGTGCAGTGCCATGTAGAGAAAGTGAAACGTAAAATGAAGCTTAAAATAATAGTGTCAGTTAAAAAAATGACTTATCTTATAAAGAAGACAGAAGTAGAATAGAGAACCTAAACCTGATAGTCCAATTAAGCACAAGGGTTGCCGAGACACAAGGAGTAAAGGCTTCCGAGGCTGTCACGGAAGCAGAAGCAGGCCTGACAATTGAGGTGATACTTGTCACCATCATACTGGCATAGCCCTGGCCCTACAAAATATATGAGTGTTCAGAGCTAAACTTTCTTTCGAACACCAATATTTGGAATAATTGAGGCTTGTCTAAAGTACTTCAAGTAAACTAATAGGAAAAACATTCATTAATACCGGTCTCGAATGTACTGTCTTCAAAAGTCAACTGCATATTTTTTTAATAAATCTAAATGAATTTTCTCGTAATGTTCTGACATTTATTAAAACTGAAGAAGTCGCAATGCTTTATTATAACATGACCTCTAACCTATATTTTTTTTCATTTAAAATATAGTTACGCACACTCTATCTCCACAAAACAAAATGTGAACTATTTTAGGCTCAAATTGTTTCTGAAAGATGTATACAAAAAATTCAATTCGTAGTGAGCTCCGACCTGAGGGATTCTGTGGAAGTTTGATTAAATAGAATTTGCATGAGATCCGCGCGCCATCTGCTCTTGTAATATATTTTTAATTTATATCCCAAAAGTTGACAGGCATCTCTAGGGCTTTATGGGCCTATGTTGTTTAAAAATTATAAACAACCTTTAGACAATTTTCTAGTTCACTTCACGATGCATTGCTTGGTTATTAATAAGACTTAGTTTATTTATATTCTCTTAATTGAAAAAATAATAATTTCGGACTCTATTTATAACTTAGATATTTTTAATTTACCTGATCTTATTAAAGGTCTTCCTGAGACAGCTGAGGCGTGAGCTAGACTTTGTGGCGCTGTAAATTACACAAGTTTAAACTCAACAATTGGATGGTATTTGATAACTTTTGATATTGATTATTTGGAAATTAATTGTCCTGTCAACCCATATAACAATAAAGCTAAAAATAGACTGTAAACTTTAACGTTACTTACTCGAACCCGAATTCACGGCGTTCGCACTAGCTTGTGCATTACCATATTGTGAATTAGCTGTAGCTTCGGCCTGAGCAAGTGCGCTTGATTGGCTGCCTCCAAGGGAGTAAGGATTATATGGGGAGGGACCTCCCGATTGAGAATTGGCAATGGCTTCAGCTTGAGCAAGTGCGTTTGATTGACTACCTCCAAGAGCGTAAGGATTATATGGGGATAGACCTCCAGATTGAGAGTTGGCAATAGCTTCGGCTTGAGCAAGTGCGTTTGATTGACCACCTCCCAGAGAATAAGGATTATATGGGGATAGACCTCCAGATTGAGAATTTGCAATGGCTTCAGCTTGAGCAAGTGCGTTTGATTGGCTGCCTCCAAGAGAGTAAGGATTATATGGGGAGAGACCTCCCAATGGAGAGTTGGCAAGGGCTTCAGCTTGAGCAAGTGCGTTTGATTGACCACCTCCAAGAGAATAAGGATTATATGGGGAGAGACCTCCCAATGGAGAGTTGGCAAGGGCTTCAGCTTGAGCAAGTGCGTTTGATTGACCACCTCCAAGAGAATAAGGATTATATGGGGATAGACCTCCAGATTGAGAATTTGCAATGGCTTCAGCAAGTGCACCTGATTGGCTGCCTCCAAGAGAGTAAGGATTAAAAGGGGAGAGTCCTCCCAATTGAGAGTTGGCAAGGGCTTCAGCTTGAGCAAGTGCGTTTGATTGACCACCTCCAAGAGAATAAGGATTATATGGGGACAGACCTCCAGATTGAGAATTTGCAATGGCTTCAGCAAGTGCGCTTGATTGGCTGCCTCCAAGAGAGTAAGGATTATATGGGGATAGACCTCCAGATTGAGAGTTGGCAATGGCTTCAGCAAGTGCGCTTGATTGGCTGCCTCCAAGAGAGTAAGGATTATATGGGGATAGACCTCCAGATTGAGAGTTGGCAAGGGTTTCAGCAAGAGCACTTGATTGGCTGCCTCCAAGAGGATAAGGATTATATGGGGTTAGACCTCCAGATTGAGAATTTGCAATGGCTTCAGCAAGTGCACCTGATTGGCTGCCTCCAAGAGAGTAAGGATTATAAGGGGAGAGACCTCCCAATTGAGAGTTGGCAAGGGCTTCAGCTTGAGCAAGTGCGTTTGATTGACCACCTCCAAGAGAATAAGGATTATATGGGGATAGACCTCCAGATTGAGAATTTGCAATGGCTTCAGCAAGTGCGCTTGATTGGCTGCCTCCAAGAGAGTAAGGATTATATGGGGATAGACCTCCAGATTGAGAGTTGGCAATGGCTTGAGCAAGTGCGCTTGATTGGCTGCCTCCAAGAGAGTAAGGATTATATGGGGATAGACCTCCAGATTGAGAGTTGGCAATGGCTTCAGCAAGTGCGCTTGATTGGCTGCCTCCAAGAGAGTAAGGATTATATGGGGATAGACCTCCAGATTGAGAGTTGGCAATGGCTTCAGCAAGAGCACTTGATTGGCTGCCTCCAAGAGAATAAGGATTATATGGGGAGAGACCTCCCGATTGAGAGTTGGAAATAGCTTCGGCTTGAGCAAGTGCGTTTGATTGACCACCTCCAAGAGAATAAGGATTATATGGGGAGAGACCTCCTGATTGAGAATTGGAAATAGCTTCGGCTTGAGCAAGTGCGTTTGATTGACCACCTCCAAGAGAATAAGGATTATATGGGGAGAGACCTCCTGATTGAGAATTGGAAATAGCTTCGGCTTGAGCAAGTGCGTTTGATTGACCACCTCCAAGAGAATAAGGATTATATGGGGAGAGACCTCCTGATTGAGAATTGGAAATAGCTTCGGCTTGAGCAAGTGCGTTTGATTGACCACCTCCAAGAGAATAAGGATTATATGGGGAGAGACCTCCTGATTGAGAATTGGAAATAGCTTCGGCTTGAGCAAGTGCGTTTGATTGACCACCTCCAAGAGAATAAGGATTATATGGGGAGAGACCTCCTGATTGAGAATTGGAAATAGCTTCGGCTTGAGCAAGTGCGTTTGATTGACCACCTCCAAGAGAGTAAGGATTGTATGGAGATAAGCCTCCTGATTGGTATGGATTGTATTGAGCATTTGCGATGGCTTCTGCTTGTGCTTGACTATTGCCTCCCAATGTGTACGAATTGGCTTGAGCTAAAGCGTTCGAGAGGCTAGATAGGGACTGAGCATTTGCCTGAGTAATTGAGCCCGACTGACTATCTACTGGAGAGTAGGGATAGAAATTTGCATATGGTGACAAGTTCCCTGAAAGTCCAATAGCCGTTGCTTGAGCAGAACTGTCAATATTTCCTCCGATTAAAGGAGCTCCTAGACATAAAGTTATTATTATTATAGGAGTTTAAAATAATGTAAACAAAACCATAATTAACATTCAATAAAGATATCCTTGTCATAAGAAGGTTCTACTTACCGCAATTTATTTGAGGAGTGCACTGAGCGACTACATATGAGAATACCACTTGACATATGCAAATATTACAGTCGATTATAAACGGTGTATCTGGTGGTTGGTAGCGGCATTTCGGTTCTGAAGAGTGACATTATAATATACAATATTCTGTTACAATTTTATACTAGTAAAGTTGTTGTCATTAATTTTTTAACTGCGGTAGGTTCCTTCAAGTGAATAAAGAAGCTAATGTGGATGAAGTAGATCCCTTCAATATTATAAGTTACTTTTTAAGTGTCAAAAGTATACCCTAACAATCTGTAATAACGACTATATGATCGATACAAAATTAGTACTTACCAATAAATACTATATTTCCGGTCGCTGAAACAAAAAAAAGGCAATTTCTAGTGACAATAAAAGCACCTTACATACATCACGGCAATAACGTGGTCGGAAACACAACAATAAGGGCAAACATAAAGAATTCGTGCTCTCGAGGGGCGAGATCGATGAATGGACCTACAAAAGCAATACACTTAGTGGCGGTCAATCATTGTAACGTGTTTCGTCTGATTCTTACGTTCATTGACCACCAATTGGACCTCCTCAGTGAGCTAGGAAGTATGTGAAATTTTGTTACAAAATATATTTTAAAATTTACATATGTAAATATATATATGTGCATATTTTATTTAAAGAACAAAGTCAAGAACATTTTGTTTCGTAAGTATATAAACAAAAATATGTTTGAAAAATACGATCTTCCTTTGTGGACCTCAATTCACAACAAGTTTTAACCTGATATGATATTTAATCATACCTTAATTATATAATATTGAACTTCTATAGCTTTAAACTCTTACTCGTGGTAAAAACAAAATATATATGTGAAAATCGTTGATATAGTCGTAATTATAATATACATCGGCAGGTCATTCAAGTTGAAAACCCTTTTTCTCTCATTGACCCTCCTCTAATATTTGCACGGCGTGTTTTCGCCTTTAACAACACCTGTGGCGATCGCAGTTATTTCCCTCGTTTGTCATCTTTGACAGGACTGTCGCTGCGAGCCTCGTAAATTTTTATTTTATTTTCCTTTTTGCTTGCCGTCGATAAGCTTTTTATTTTTCAACCCCTTTTATGAGTTAAATTAAAACAAACGTTCAATTATATTAAATCTTCTTTATATTCCTTTTTAACTTACCTTGATTCGGGGATGGCTCGTGGCTCGCTAAGAATAATAATATATTTAGAGAATAATAATATATTTAGAGAATTTAGAGAAATTTAAAGAATTAAATTTGATAATTAAAAAGTGATTGACTACTTACGATACGGGGGTAAAAGTAAGGGTTCTGAAACCGGATAATAAATTACTTTTTCATATTACATAACACTAACGTGACTAAATAAAAATATACAAATTTAGTATTGATAATATTATTACCCGGAATCGGTGGTTCGATACCTGAAAAGTAACAATAAAAATTTAAATATATTATTTCAACAACGATATCGAGCAAAATGATATATTAATGGTAATCTTTTAAATAACTCACAGCATGTTTTTTTGGTGTAGCAGTTAACTTCTACGTTGACGACATTCACACCGTAAGACTCGCTACACATACAGATTTGACATTCGTCCCACGGATGCTGGAATGGCGTGTTCGGCGGGTAGGGCCTACAGGTGTCGTCTTCATGGGACAAAATAACAACATTTTATATATATATTTAGGCTTAATTAAAGAGATAAAGTATTATATTCTTACGTGGCGGAGGTCCAGGCAGAGGACTAGGTGGTGGCATTGGCTTAAGCACTGGTGGCCAAGGCACTAATAATAGAATTAAGAATTAGTAAAATACAGAGGCTTTTAACAACAAGTGTCCCTGTGATATTTTTTTCTAGTTAAGTACATGAATCACTTACTTGGTTCAGGATTCGGTGATATCGTAGGATAAACTTCATGGTGTAATTCTGGGATCGGCTCGGGGATTATGAGTGGTGGCGGTGGTGGTGGTGGTGGTAATGGTAATGGTTCTGCTAGAATGAGAGGACCAGAAAAAAAATGTTGTAAAATTTTAAAAAAAAAGTGCAAATAATATCATTTCGTAAAAAACACTTATAAAAGTTTTATATTTCCTATCATATAAAGTATATATGACTTTAATGGTTTTCTCACCGCATTCTGGGTTTGGTATGCAGATAATTCTTTGCTCTGGTGTGAAGTAAACTTCCTCGACAACACACTTGCATATTTTGCATCCATCGGACGGATGAGGGAACGTCACATCGGGCGGGAATCCCTCACATAGAGACACTGAGACGAGTAAGGAGGCGAAAAACAAACGATAACTAGAAATTTCTATTGAACCTAACAACAATCTTAAACCATTCGATAATTTGACATGGCAAAAAACAAAAAGAATGAACATGAAAAAAATCTGCAAACGAGTATAGAAATAAATTATAATTTATCAGGCTGTCTTTTATTCGTGTTTGGCATTTGTGAAAAATGATCAGGGGGAGAAAATAGCTTTATCATCTAAACAAGAATGAATTCATCGATTATAAAGTAAACTTACTCGGGGCTGGTCTCGGCACCGGCGTCGGAGCTGTAAGATAACAATAATATTGAAGATCCCATCACGACGGGCGCTACGCAAATATTTACTGTATTTATACTTACGTATTCGTATGACGTCGGGGGGTGGTGCTGTAACAAAGGGATTGTCTTCAGATATTGTTAAAATATTGGGAATTCGGGTCAAGGATCACCGGGATAAAATGTCATTGATTGTAACACTTAGCAGTAAGACAATTGTTAAGCTGTACAGAACAAATCGTATCAACCTTATGAGTAAACTTACTGCACGATGGATTTTCCTGACATTGTATTTGTATGTCCGTCTGTCCGAGAGCGTTGTAGATGCGCGTACATATGCATATCTGGCACGGATTTAGTGGGTTTTGGAATGGTGAGTCCGTCGGTAACGGATCGCACGACACTAGAATAATATGTCACTCTAATAACTAAAGCTGGATATACAAAACTTTTATAAAGTACATTCGATTGTTGTGTTAGTTAATATATGGTTTTAGACATTGTATTTACCTTGAGATTCTGGCTCAGGGGGTGGTGGTATCGGTAGAGGTGGTGGCAGAGGTGGTAATATCGGTGGTGGTGGTGGCGGTGGTGGCAGAGGCGTCGGCGGTAGTTGTGGTAATATTTCATAGATTGGTTGTTCAGGCACAAGAAGAGGTGGCTGAGGCGGTGGCAAAGGAGGCGGTAATATTTCATATTCCGGTTGATCCGGTAAAATAAAGTGCGGTGGTGACGGTTGTGGTAAAGGAGGTGGTGGTGGTGGTGGATATATATCATATATTTGTTGTTCGGGCATTAAGATAGGAGGGGGAAGCGGTGGGAATAAGTCGATCATAGGTTGCTCCGGAATTATTGAAGGCGGCATTGGTGGTAAGAGTGGTGGAGGAGGAGGTGGTGGCGGGGCTATCGGTGGTCTAGCACACGTGTTACAAGTAACACAGACTGGTATCAGAGACCAGCCCTCCCTTACACAAACACAAACCATACAATCGTATATCGGTGACCAGATATTGTGAAGTTCATACTCCTTTGAGCATGCGATCAAGTTATTTCCTCCTGAAAAAAAAAATTGATAATATTCAATCCATTATTTATTTCAGTATTTTAATTTTCTTTTCAATAAAATAAACACTTAACAGATGTAAGTAGCTGAAACTCTTGTCATCTTATAAAGATAGATAGTTACGGCAAATTAACCAAAAAGTCAAGTCTATTAACTAAAATGTTAGTGTCTATTTTACTTTTCATTACTTTTAAATTCTTCTCACCTGGTATTGAAGCCGGAAGAATGTAGTCATTCTGACTAATAACTCTTGATCTCGCTCCTTGAATGCGAAGTTAGAAAATATTACTTTCATAACTTTAAATAAAAATAAATGACAAACAATAACGATCTTAGAAAGCCAATGGAACATAATTGAAAAAACATCTTTAAAGGCCTTTTCGTCATGTTTAGTTGACAAGTTAATTTTATTTGTTTTCTGTTATCTCGATTAGCCTAAATATGTATATCACTAAGAAGAACTAACTAAAGAATTTACATTCTGTAAGATTTTACTATCTTAACAATTTTTATTTTATTAAGTTCATAAATACAAAAATAACACGATATATAATATGGAGATACTCAAGAATTTAGACTACTAGTAAGAATTTCGAATATACTATACTCATTTTAAACATATGACACTTTTTATTACCTGCAAATGCATTTACTAAACCGTATCTAAGGTCTGCATCAGCTTCTATAAATAAAAATGATTCATGTTTATGGTACAGTAGGTGAAATCAAACATGTTTATAAACAATTATAACAGATATGTGCCTCAAAGAAATAATGACGCCTACCATCCGATTTATCTTGTATGTCTTGATCTTGATTTGCTGGTTCAGTATTAGAGTTTATATTATCTGCCGCTCGATTTGTTACGGGATTGTTATGAGATTCGGAAGACTCTGGATCATAACGTCTTTAAACAAAAACATAATTTGATGATTAAATCAAGGAAATAAATATATAAACGGCATTGTATGAATATACCCTAAAGCTTGATCTTCCTCTTCGATAGAATTAAGGCTTGCTGTGGTCGCGTGATGAAAATATCTTGACTGTTCATCATCATTAGGCTCGGATTCTTTATATTCGACGTGTCCACCTGTACGAGAAAGAGCTTGAGGTTGAACTGATGCTTCACTACTGGAGTCGTACTTGGAATGGTCAGGACTGGTCGATAGGTCATTCGTAGTAGTGCTACTGACACTACCATCTCTAGAATTCAATGATTCCGTTACAGTTTCGGTAGTAGCTTCCGATTCAGATCCACTTCTGACCTCGATATTCTGTATTAAATTATTATCAGAGTGAGAAGTTCCAGGTGTTGATGTATCATATTTGGAAATCTCTGCTAATTCAGGTTCAATCTCTGTTGTTGCTTCTTTATATAAATTACCGTTGTTTAGTGAAGATTTCCCGAATTCACCTGTATGGTATAGATGTCGATTATTTTTTTAGTTTCTGGTGAAAGTTCAGCTGTAGGTTTTGATGGTGATATGAGACAAAAGTTTTAAAATTTTTATTTTGGGTTGGTTTTTTAGAATTAGATTCAAGTCATACAAAAAAAATATATATTTCTCAATACAAATGAGCATTAAAAAATTTTTGACGTAAATACCTTGTACATTATATAATACATTAAAAATATTGTAAGTACCCAATTTAATATGCATTTTTTTTCTAAACTAACTCTTTGTAACATTGCGTCTCTATCCGATAAATTATTATTCTTCATTATATCAACACAAACAATAATTGGAAGGTAGATTGAGAAATATGTTTACCTTGTAATACATCGTTGGAATACAATAAGTTTTGACCTTTGGTACCCGAAGATAACAGGAAGGCAAGGAAGCAGAAGCCTCCGATCAAGCCCCCCCGCATCTCTTATATTTTATGTTCCGTGTCCACTTTTGCTCCCTAACCTTTTGTCCGTAACCCAGTATTATTAAAGTGATATTTTAAACTGAGCGAATGTATATCACGTACCTCATTATAAATACTTGATAACATTCCGTGGTAATCGTGGACATTGATTTATGTTCAAATATAATTGCAATTTCATTTGTAACGGCTAAACCCAATTCGTTCTATCAATATTATTTGTTATACATGTCACTGGTAATGAAACCATTTATGTTATTATTAATAATAATAATTTTTATAGGACAAAATAATACAGCCAATTCATTATCCCACTTAAACTTTATTTGTACAAAAAGGATGAAGCGTGCTTAAATGTCTATTTATAATGCTGATTTCTTATGCTATGATTTTTAGGGTCAAATGAACAAGCCGTGTCATGTAAGTGTCCAAGTGATTGCGAGATCATTGACGAATGTCTGGAAAGAATGAAAGACAAATTAAAAAATAAGAATAGCACGTTATCAAATCTTGAAATATTATACCGTACGTTATGATTATTTGTCTTGTGCTTCTTCTTCACCGGCTTTGAGGTAAAGTGGTGAGATGAGTCCTCCCCAGCCTCCGCTGTTTGCATTTGCTATTGCGCTAGCGTCAGCTGAGCTTCCCCCATATCCTCCCCAACCTCCGCTGTTTGCATTTGCTATTGCGCTGGCGTCAGCTGAGCTGCCTCCGTATCCTCCCCAACCTCCACTATTGGCATTAGCTATTGCGCTAGCGTCAGCTGAGCTTCCGCCGTATCCTCCCCATCCTCCACTATTTGCATTTGCCAAAGCACTGGCGTCAGCGATACTTCCGCCTCCATAACCTCCCCAACCTCCGCTATTAGCATTAGCCAAAGCACTAGCGTCAGCTATGCTTCCACCTCCATAGCCTCCCCAGCCGCCGCTATTTGCATTTGCCAAAGCACTGGCGTCAGCGATGCTTCCGCCTCCATAACCTCCCCAACCTCCGCTATTTGCATTAGCCAAAGCACTAGCGTCAGCTATGCTTCCACCTCCGTATCCTCCCCAGCCGCCGCTATTTGCGTTAGCCAAAGCACTGGCGTCAGCGATGCTTCCACCTCCGTATCCACCCCAACCTCCGCTATTTGCATTAGCCAAAGCACTAGCGTCAGCTATGCTTCCACCTCCGATTCCTCCCCAGCCGCCGCTATTTGCATTAGCCAAAGCACTGGCGTCAGCGATGCTTCCGCCTCCGTATCCACCCCAACCTCCGCTATTTGCATTTGCTAAAGCACTAGCGTCAGCTATGCTACCGCCTCCGTATCCACCCCAACCTCCACTATTTGCATTAGCCAAAGCACTGGCGTCAGCGATGCTTCCTCCTCCATAGCCTCCCCAGCCGCCGCTATTTGCATTTGCCAAAGCACTGGCGTCAGCGATGCTTCCGCCTCCGTATCCACCCCAACCGCCACTGTTTGCATTTGCCAAAGCACTAGCATCAGCTATGCTTCCGCCTCCATATCCTCCCCAGCCTCCGCTATTTGCATTTGCTATAGCGCTAGCGTCAGCTGAACTGCCTCCTATTCCTCCCCAACCTCCTCCATTAGCATTGGCTATGGCACTTGCGTCAGCTGAACTGCCACCCCAACCTCCATATCCGCCTGCGTTGGCATTGGCAATGGCTTCCGCTGAACTACCTCCCCAACCACCACCGCTATATGCGTCTGCTTCTGCAGAAGCTTGTGCGCTTGATGTTATTCCCCAACCACCACCTTGAAAACCAGAATTTTAAAACATGTATTCATTAATATCCTATAAATAACGATTTTATGAATTATAAATGTTGCAATATTTTTACTCACCGCAGCCGGGTATGATTTGGGACTCGATGTATACATAATTGTATCTGATTTTGCAAGTATGTATACGGCAGCTATCACCAGCTAAGCTGAATGGTGTAAGTGGGAGTCTTCCTCTACATATGGGAGCTGAAATATTATTTAATTCTTAATATCAAACTTTTTTGTTCGGTCTTGAATTAAATATCTTTTAGTTTCATTAATCCTAGTTGGTAACTTGGAATGTAGGATACTTACAAACGTATATGATGATTGGAACAGGATATATTCTGGTGCCTAAAATTTAAAACATTTAATTACAGCAAATGAGATGGGTGACTAGTAATATTATTTTATTTATTATTTCATTAATTACTTACGCGTGATAGGTACTGGGACTGGTACTAATCTGTCTGGGCCAGGGACGGGAATGTACCTGTTGACTGGATAAGGTACTGGCATTGGTGGAGACGGCATAGGAATTGGGACTGGGATGTTCCTAGCTGGTCCGGGAACCGGTACGGGGACTGGCACAGGTACTGGCGGTGATGGCACGGGAACAGGAACCGGTACATTTCTGGTCGGTCCTGGGACTGGAACAGGTTCGGGTACCGGTAACGGGACTTTTATTATTTGCGGCGGGGTCGGGACTGGGTATGGTCGATTGACGGGGTAAGGAACCGGGTAAGGCTTATCGACCGGTACGGGAACCGGTACCGAGGGACCTCTCACGTAGATCTTTTCTGGAGGTGATGGGACCGGGACGGGGACAGGCACCATGACCCGCGGGCCAGGAACGGGCACTGGCACTGGGTATGGCCGTGGTGGTCCAGGAATCACTACCGGTGGTGGACCTGGAAATTTGAACGATTTAATCAAAGTTGCTTTTGTGTATTAAAAAATGTAAAAACTTACATATTGGTTCCGGGTTCGGTGGTGGTATTGGTAGCGGTAGTGGTGGCATTGGTGGTATGGGTGGCATGGGCGGTGCTATAAAAAGAAGGTCATAAAACTTACTCTTAATAGATAGGTACCTCTCGTGTGACTGTTTCCAATGACTTTCATTGGATTTTATTAAAAATAATATTAAATAAATTTAAAGTCCTTAGGGTTTCATAACACAACATCAGCTGTAAAAAAAATATACATACGACATTGGTTGCACGGAGCACATTTAGTGTACAGTGGTCCGAAACCAAACGTGAAACATCCACACACGTAACAGCCATCCAGTTGACTTATGTAGAACATATCTCCAGCTCGACTACATCTCTGGTCTGCGACTGTGGGCAACCATGAGATGTTGGTCTGTGACTCTAACATTCAACTTATACATATTCAAGTAAGTTAGTTCATTTGAAAACAAACAGCCTGATAGACAATAATATTGGTTTTGTATTTTGTATATTTATTTCCTAGCTCGTGTATGTATGTTTATACAATATCACTCACTGATCGGACTTCCTAAACCGAATCCTCCAGCGTTCGCCTCCGCGAAGGCGCTCGCCTCGGCGAAGGCGCTGCGGTCATCGGCTTCTAAAGCGTTAACAATACGGTTTATATATATTTATATGTCACAACGTACCAACAAACGCGGCTCACGATTCACATTGTACGATATACTGAGCTGCCTCTACTCACCCTCGGCCGAGACGAAGGCCGCGACCGACCAAAGGAGTAATAGCTTCCAGAACCACATGCTTGTCAGAAGTAGACCCTGTGAGCACGAGAGCTCACCGAAGATGCCACACACTGGCGACTTCTTACTATTTAAAGTATTTTCCTTTACGCGCTGATGTCCGGCGCCAATCAATTAACTTATTAAAAACATTTAATAAATATCAACTCACGAGCAATAGGCCGTGTCGATACAACTTGATACCCGTGAACAAAAAAATATTTACAAATCAATAATTTAAGGTTCGCTGTAAGGCGCGACGTCGCACAGGACTTTACATACATACGAGAGATAAAGATTCTGTTTTGAAATTATATTGAATGTGCCTCGATTGAGAGATGCTGTGAGTATTCTTGAGTGTCATTCGACCCTAGATCATCTTCACTGAATAAAGGAATCTTTTCAACATACACATAAAGGCACAAGCATTAAAAACTAAACATTCATAATAGCTGGTCATTTAGACCCATCCCCTAGTAAGTTATTACGATAATTCATTCACATTATTTTTAAGTCAATGTGAGGTTTAGACTAAACGTACGGAACCCGATTAATAAATATAACGAATGACGATCTGTCAAGTGAACATAAAATGTATTAAAATTAATATAAAATACTCTTATTGGATTCGGTTCCTCCTGTATATTATATTAAATTAATATTATTATATATATTATTTAGTTCATACATAACGTACTCTGTATACTGTACGGGCACGGATGTACGTACAGTTTGTTTTCCCTGTTATATATTTAGTGTTTCATGTCCTTGTAGCTTTCATTTGTCAACGAATCTTTAGCCGCGGTAAGGTTATTAAAAAGATATCGACTACTGACGTGAGACGTCGCGCCGACGAGGAAGGGTCGAACTTAACTTATAACAATATATTATATTATTAATGCAGGTTTTATAATTTATTTACAAAAACATTGTTATTCTCTCATATTAATTGTATAATTTATATGAACGAGAATATTTATATCGATGTGGTTGACCATAATATGATTAATCCATTTGTTATAGTTTATTAATATTATAAATTATTGTTAAGCGTCTGGGAGGTAATATATTTTAAACACTGCTTTAAAATTTGTGAAGCCGGGATGTCTTATATATCCAAAATTATATAGTTCAATAGATTTTAATGTCATTTACTTCTAAAGGCCTTTATATAATTGTCATTATGATTCTCTATTCTTGCATCTATCTTTTGTATATATTTTTCTCGGTAACTGTGTCATTATATATCTCTGAGTGTATACGTCAGGTGTAACAGCTGACTTATAGTTTCGTCACCTCGCCACACACCACTCGGGGGCGCCACCATCGGGCTGCTTCCGCTTCCCGTCCCTGTTCCGGCGACGCAGCCATTGTATGCGTTGTTTTATGTTTGAATGTCACTTTTAATATTGAATCGTTTGTTCTAAATAACTAAATTGACCGACTCCGGTAGTTTAAACTGATTTCTTTTATAATATTAATAATAGTGACAAGTTAGGAGAGTTTTTACTGGAATATTTTATTAGAAAACCATTTTTGCTTAATTGCTTCAAATTATTCAACTAAATTACTTCTTAGAGAATAAACTAATGTAGCTTACTCCTAGGAATTCTGTGTTCGGCTGACTGTTGTGTCTGGTGAGAAGACTAACGACCTGACAATGAAATGTGACGAAAATAAGATGAAAAAAATTAAAACAGAAACGCGATGGATCTGTGGAAGATGTTTTAATCTTGCCAAATTCACGTGGGCTTGGTTTTTTAATTAAAGCACGTGTCGAGTTAGCGAGCCGAGGCGAGGCAGCCTCTTCAGGCTGGCAGCCCTGCCCCGCGCCCCGCTCACTCTACCCACTAAAGGGGTGATGCCTGATGGAAACACGGCATTACGTGTGTTCTTTAGATTTCATAAAACTTATGCCTATATTTTAATTTCGGATTTTTCTTATTCATCTTGTACATACCTCGCCGGGTCTTTTTACCGTACTCGCTGTAAACTTTTTCTCTCTGAAACACAGACAAGATTTCAGAGAGAACGTGAGAAACTATAAAACTTTCTCATTATTAAAATTACTAAGGATTTAATTTATACAGCCGCCCGTACATTCCATTGTTAAATTCAACTTTATATTACCAAGCGTCGGTGAGAATTTTAGTATGCAAAGGGATTTGAACCTTAAAACTATGTATATGGGAACATAATCAGATGCTAAACGAAAAAATAACGTAAATTGTATTCTTTTGTGCAATATAAATATGGTATAGTAAGCAATGAACACAAATCCCTCACAGAGCCGGCCTCCTCCCGCCTCCCTGCGCTCTGATTGATGGATATTGGAAGATGACGGGATTACAGGATATCGGTTTATAGTGTTCCAGAACCTTCCCTGGGGATGTTATCACTCGCATCATACACCACCAGTAGTTATATTATAAAAAATATATAAATAAAAACTTATATACCGCGTGTCTCACTAACGACAGGCGGTTTTTAATATATTAAAAATTATAATATATAAACTTTTAGTTCGTTATTACAACTATAATTTAGAACAAATATTGTATTATACTTAAAGCAATGCTCTATTTCACTTCATCATATATCATTTGTTATTGAGATTAATTTAACGTCTATCAATAGAAATACAAAGGAATATTACTAGTTTTAGTAAAATATATAACTATATTTGATATCCAAACTTTTACTCACTTCAATAATTCATAGTATAATGTAATTTGTTTTCTTTTTTGAAAAAGATAATCTACGAAATGAAACTCTTAAACTGTTCCTTTTCATCATTAGTTTAAGTTGAGTCAGTTATTGCCAGTTAAGTTTAACCCCCTCTCGTTATTCAGTAATATAACTGTCAGTCACTAGCCTCATCAACAATGTTCATATATTATTTGACAGACAATCATCTGTAATAGTTTACTGTGTCTGTTGTATATGAAGAAGCCTGATTGACGTCACTTCCTCTATTCTGTTCCGTTTCCTTTCCTCATTTACGTGATATATTACGAGACGTCAATAACCTACGTATATCAGCATGTGATTTTGTTTTTCTGTTTCAGGTAAATATGTTACGAATTTACACGAGGTGTCTGGGGTGAGGTTATATTTTTATTCTTTTTGTTATATAATTTATAAAGGTCTAAGAAATTTTATTTCAAAATGTTTTATATTAATAAATAATGACCGTTATTTTTAACGGAGACAATTGTTAACTGAAGATATCCGCGGACGACTTGAACGAGCTCGGAATATTTGAACACGAGGGATATTCGTTTTTATTTTGCATCTATTTGCCAACCTGTTTTCATGATTTTCTTTCTCAGTATTCTTTGTTATCAATATATATCTCAGTTCAGTCCAGGCACTTATCCACTTAATAAGTGAGTTATTTGATTCAACATTTAATTGCTCCTGGAACCAAACTTAGCTGAAACTAGTTAACAAGTTCCAGAAGACAGTACACCTATATAAAGGCTTTGTAAACTGCGATGTTATATATTCATTAGAGGAGGTCTCCTCACATCCACGGGAGTAGGGACACTGAGCTAACATATCTAAGTGTGACGGGTTTTTTTAAACTTAGTTCATAATATATTGACGGTGTTTAGAAGTTCGTTAAATGTAGGTTTGATTGTGAAGGCTGATCCTCTGATACTCACAAACAATATTTATCAACTGTTCAGTTCGTTAGATCATTGAATTCATTAATTCATATTAAATTAGGAATGACGCCATGTATTTATTATCGTCAGCATTAAATATACGAAATATAAGAAAAGGGAGAAATATGTCATAAAACACATCTAAGTGAAGCGCACAAAATTTTCTTTGTAATTTTTTATTTAAATTTTTTTCTGTCCACTTATATATTTCTCGACCCCATCATTCATCCATCCATCTCAGCCGTGGTACATCCACTGCTTGATATAAGCCTCCTTCTTCGACCCCATGCTTCCGACAATTACGACGATCGATGCTATTTGTCGATATGAAATTATTACCTCCAAAAACTTTCTCTATAAATATCAATAGCTTCAATACCACAGGTATTTCTTACAAGTTGGATTCAATGAATGTATCTGTTGAGTGTCTCCCTGACCTGATCTCCTGCCTGGAACCGCTTTCAACATTCCTGGCAACATTCCCAAACGGACCTACAAAATAATGACTTAGAACCAAACTCCTGAATAAACAGAAACTATCTACTTCAATATTTTATTTTTATTAAAGAACTTATTATACTGACCAAGCGTTTTGATGCCATACGATTTGATTTGATTTGATTAAATATGTAAAGTCTAAGATATATAGTCAGTTTAGTATGTTTTTAACAATATGTTATAATCTATTGTAAATAATATTCCCGTAATCAAAGTTAACCACCAGAGCGGCCGGTCGCAGGAGTCGCGTGAACCGCCGCCGCAAACCATAACCAGCTCGGAGCCTTATTAAATTCCCTCTCAACGACAAGAGACAGAACGATATCCACCTTATTTCAGAAAAAATAAAGTTTAAATTTAAATGTCGACCAAAACTCTCTGATTCCAACCCTTTGCTCGTGTAACAAAGTTCACATTTAAGCAAAATTTATCCCAACCCGTGCTATTTCAACTTTGAGCTCTAATCTGTTTGTATAAAGTCGTCTCTAGAATAAATCACAGCTGTGTGTTGGTCACAGTAGCAACTGGTATACGTGATATGCATTTAACATTACTACGGGCTTGCAAAAAATATATATTTTTCATGCGACTCTAAGTGAAATCATATTTTAACAATGAAGATGTTTCTATATGAACATGTCGTTAATCTACTCTTCGTCACAAGTTGCCCCGTGTGTGGCGCGCCAGTGATACGTTCCCGGAGCTGAGACACGAACAAACACACAAACTAACTGAGACAAATACAAATTAGCAAATATTTGTCGAGTTCACGGTTCGTGTGTGTCACGAGAACTAATAGTAAGGCTGTGTGTCGAGCGACTGGAATCCAATACCCCACATGTAAGGCTTCATTACGATTTCAATTCTCGCTGTACCGAGATTTAAAAATATTATTTTTCAGTTCAACTTGCAAATATTTCTCGTGAGTTAAACTGCGACTGTTGAATTATTTTCTTCTGTATTTAGAACATGTCTCAAACTTATTGTTATGTATTATGTATATCTACACAAATATGTCAAAGATCGTTTCTTTTGTATGTTACAAAAAGTGATATTTTAACCTTAGATCCATCGTTTTCTTCGCCTTTCTTCCTCGTTATTGTCGTGTTATATATATTCACACACTCTATATATATATTGTAAGGTAATTTCCGTCGGTACGGTTGTTGTGAGCGCCGCGTGTGTCCGCTTCCTCTGGGTGTACACCTTCCTTTATAAATACCTCTTTGTCATCTTGTTATCATTAAAGTAATTCAAACACAAAGTAAATATAACACACGCTAATGTTCCTTCCATACACGAAACGTGCTCTGTTAGTTTAAAACTTTATTTTAATAACGTTTTTGGTACAATTTGAAATTAATTTTAGTATTCGATTTTTAACAAATTTTAATACATACCAAGTATTATTATTCATATATTTTATAGTGATGAAATAATTAAAATATAATTAAATATATTTTAAATACTTTATATAACAGCGTAATTACCTATACTCACGTTACATCGAACCTATGACTTGTAGAACTTCTCGTTCCGGTCACTTGTTCAGTTAATCTCCCGTGTCCAAACCCGAGCCTATACATTTTTCATTCTTTGTTTTCAATTAATTTCCACCGTTCAAATCAAACGTAATTTTAATTTCAGTAACAGTACCAGTATTTAATGTCAACTCTAAGTGTCGTTACTAACGTCTCGTCTTTTTATCTCCTCGCCGCTGCTCTAACATTAGAGCCGTCATAAATCTGGTGATGCGTCTTCTTTCACTGCACCGTCTCCATCTGACACCCTCTCTGATGACAGCTGCTCCAAGAGTTTAACATGTGAAAAATTCCCTCACTTAGAATATTTCAGACTTAAAACGTCTCGTAATAAGGATATTCCATATTTTAGTAAAATAAAATTGCTTTTATATTTTTTATGACTAACTAGATGGTGTCCGCGACTTTATACGCGTTGGTGTAGCTAAACAGGTTAATTGTTTCGATTTAGCGCCAGTAAATAAACAGATTTTGGATTCTTTTACCAATTTTTTTGGTCGAATGAATTCAAAAGTATTCTATGTCCGTCTCTGATTCCAATCTAATTCCCCACAAAGTTCCATGCTAATCCGTACATCGTTTCGTACGTACGTCCGTTTTTGAGTTATAAATGGTGTAACTAACACGACTTTCCTTTACATATATAAAGTTATCTTTAAAA